AGGAAGGTATGAACACAGTGTAAGAGAGAACACGGTATAAGGAAGGTTCGAACACGCTGTCGGACCGCAGGGGGCGGGCACTGTGCGAGGCGGACAAGCGGCGGGTTCGATCCCCGCCGCCGCCTGTACCCCACCAAGGCTTCCCCTTCCCAGGGGAGAGGCCAGAGGGGCCTAGGAGGGGTTCCTGGCTGCTCCCCGGGCTCGAGCCCACCCCAGTGGGAGAGGAAAAGTCAGGCAGTAGCAAAGCGAAACAGGGCTGTGGGCGCAGGTGGGAACCGGCGGCAGCTGCAATCCCGAGGCTGCCCTCCAGAGGTTGGGGGGTTGGAAGGCAGCTCACCGCAACCCCATACGGCTCCGCTTAGGAAGAATCTTTCTTTGCGCCACCTCAGCGGCGCACGTTAGCCCTGAAACCGGTGTCATTAACCCAAGCCACTGCATTCCCTGGATCTCCCCCGCTCCACCCTCGACTCCCGCTGGCGCCCACCCCGTCTCCCTTAAGCAAGATGGCGGCGTCGGCGTCTCCCGTCGTGCCTCGCGGCGCCGGCGGCCGGTCCCGCTCAGTGGCCGCTGAGTCAAAATGGCGTCGGCGGCGGGAAATGTGAGTGACGGTGGAGTGCGGAGCGTCTGAGGGGCTGCGCCGCCATGGACGCCCAGGGCTGCATGAAGGCCCTGCTCCTGGCAGCCACGCAGTACCGCGCCGCCAAGACACCGCACAACGCTGCGCTCCTGCAGCGCAGCTTGGAGGTGGCAGTGCCGAGGCGCGGTGGGAGCGGGGCGTGGGGGTGGCCGTGGTGTCCTTTGTTATAATGCTTTGTGTTGTGTTTGTGCGTTTACAGTGTGTTTACAGTGTGCAGTATGCTTATAAACACTCAGGGCAAGCCTATAGCGTGTCTTACGAGGGACATTTGGTTTTTTTCATATCCTCAGAATTCTGACCCACAAGGATCATTTATTTTAACGTCTGAAAAACCAGAGTTTGAATGATGAACTGGTCTTGTAACTGGAGTTTGCCATGTAACACATATTCCAGTGTGTTTTTTGCTCAGAGGGTAGGCTAGTGCATTTCCCTGGTCTCCAGGTACAGCCTTGTGCACAACCCTTGTGTTGGCCATTGGCTGAGTTACTTCATCTGCAAGGTACCTTTTTCAAATACCGTTTTATTTTTTTAATCGCTAAAACATTTATATGAGAGTTAGCATCTCGCTTTGCTTTCTTGTTTGTGTCCCTTATAAAGAGATATACAGGGAACGTGCAAACTCAGCATTATGTGTCTCTGTTATGTAAAATACAAATTGTGTCTGCCTGTATTGATGTGCAGATGTATCGGTTTTGGCATCTTCTTGTATAGGGTTCCCTGAACCCAGGTTCCACTTTTTTCATCTCAGTCATAGAGTGCTCCCAAAACAACACTGACTGCTGCTGCTTCTCTTCCTGTGGATTCCCGTGCACATCCTTAGGAAGCAGGCTGTTGGGCTCAGCTGAAGGCTGATTGCTAAATGTTTGTGTTGAGCAATCTGTTTGGTTGTACTTTCAAAATAAATAAACCTAGTACTTTCCAAGAGTAAAGGGAACACATCCACAGGAATGAAAAACAGATTTTTTTCAAAATTTTTTTTTTTTCCCCGCAGATGTGAATACAAAAGCCTCAGTAGAGTGGCACTTGTATTCTCAGTTTGTCATATAGGGCAAAATCTATTTAATACAACTCTGTGCTTTGACTTCTATGTGAATTACTTTGTTGCAGTTTAGCAAGGTTATTTTTCCCCTTTGGTCTCCAGGTTATCTCTGGACTGAAGCTTACACGGTTATTTGCTTCAAACCAGATTCTACCAAGTGAATGTCTCAGTTGCCTTGTGGAGCTCCTTGAGGACACTAATATAAACCCATCTCTGACCTTGTCTGTGGTTACTTTGCTCTCACAACTAGGTAAGGTTTGCATCTGAACTTTTTGTCTTTTGTCTGGGCAAGGGAAGGTAAGACAGGGGCTGTGGTGGGGGTGATGGATTTCTTGGAAGAAGCTTTAGATGTGAAAGGTGAAGTATTTTTCGTTTTGGTGGAGTACTTGTCTGAGACATCTGTTAAGATGTTAAATCTCCATGAGAAGCAGATTTCAAGTCATCACTGTGAAATTACAATGATTGTGCTTGTCAGAATTTGTTTCCTCACTGGGTAGGATGAGGAATTATTCTCTTGTCCTTTATTTTTGGAGCTTGAACAGACTAACTTTTTAAAGAAGTGAGAGACCTGCCTGGATGCAAGGATAGGGAGAAGCCATGTTACATCAACAACTGTCGTCACTTCAGTTTACCTCTCCCACCAGAGTGTTGGCAGGGTGGCAGTTTGGGCTCTCCTATAGCTTGGAGAGCTGTGTGCATCAAGTTTCCCTGTTGCAAAATAGATTCTACTGCTCTTACTTGTCTCTTGAGATGACTTTTTTGTTTGGTTTTTCCCCTCCATTTCACAGAAGTGGGACTTCATTGTCCTGGGAGCTCTGTGCTCAGAGCACAATGTACGTATGTGGGGGAAAATTATCCCTTCACTGCTTAGGTTCTTGTCATGTATGAGTAGTTATTTAAGACTTGAGTCCTTTGGGGTGATCACTTGTTTATCATCTCTGATTCATGGAGTTTAAGCCTCTCTGAGCTTTCTTTTGTGTTTTTGGAACAGTTACTGTAAAATATTTGCTGAGGTTGGGTCTGGAAAATTTTAAGAATTAGTCCTCCTTCAGCTGATCTGTTGCTTTACCTGCATGTCGTCCTACATCTTTTCCAGTTCCTAAGTAGAACTGGCTATTTTTTTATTTAGCTATTGCTAGAAACCCTATCAAGTTATCAGTTTTAGTCTACTTGACTTTGGCTTCTGCTTAAATTGGTAGCTAATACAACAGTTGCTTTTGCTATTAGATAGGGGGTTTTGCTAATAATTCTTAAATTCTAGCTTCAGACAATGAGACTAGAGAAGCTCTACAGGACACCTACAATCTGACCATCGTGCTGGCAGGAGTGGTTCATCGAAGTTCTACTAACCTTAGCGACCCACTCTTATTACAGGTAACAGGAAATAATGCTTAATGATATTTAGCTACTGTTGCATGATATGCATTATACTGTATGCATATAATAACCCTCCAAAAGCCCTATCTGAAATAATGTGTTCAGGAAAAGTCTCAGGTGTGGTATTCGGTTATTTCTCCTAATGTTCGTAACAAAAGCCTGGAGATTGTTTTATCTAATACTTTGACAGGTGACTGTGAAGGAGTGAAAGGAAATGCCTGTTTTCATGGAAATTTTGCAGGGCATATCTACCTCCTTACTTCTGGTCAGTGCCATCTGCCAGTTTTTTTTTTTAAATATGCACAGATTTTCTCCTATGTGGTTCTGAGCTTTCAGCAGGCGCTTGCTGGTTGCCTGTGGTCACATCTCTCTTTATGGAGTGGAAAAGCAGAAAATGAATTTGCTAGTAGTGCTGTTGCCCTTGTTCAGTGGAAAATGAGTCAGGCATCCAGTAAAGAACACTTTTCTCATGGTTTGCATATATCTCAAAGCACTAGAAGTACCACAACTTGGGGATCCAAGTGGTCGGCCCATCAGTAGGAGAGATATTGTAGTCGCCAAATAGATCCAATGAGACCTTGAAACACTTAGATTTTGTTTCAGCTGCTAACCTGTGCTGTGATTCTTGTCATATCTGAGTATATTAACTTCCATTAACTCATTTGTGTGCCAAAAGAGTGCTATATGAAGGACTTTGCTACCATTAGATCTGTTGGCAGTCTTTAGAGCAAATCTGTTTTCCTATGAGCATCCTTTTTGCAAGACATTGCAAAGTACTTTTTGAATTTTGGTGAGACTTCTAGACCTCTGAATAGGACAAAACCCCGTTCTCACTGATGGTGGAGAACTTGCTGGTAAGGCAAAGGGGAGAATTGGATGGTCTAAAAAGGTAACTCCTCTGTCAAAATAAAACCTTACTAATCTCTTTGGGCTTTCAATAAGTACATCAGTGCAGTAGGACATTACTCAATGTGCTTGCAGCAGCTTGTGTAATTGTTATGTTAGCATTAGAGTCTGAAAACTAATTCAGTTGCGGTGTCTTGCTATTTGTCCTTTTGGTTTTAGCTTTTGTAACTTGTAACGTTCCTCAGTGAGATGCTATAGGAAAGACATGTGAATAGCTGTTTATTTCCTCAGGGTATTCAGCTGCTGCAGAGGCTAACCTACAACGTTCCAGTCTTCTGTGCTGGCACCAACATCGATGAATTAATTTCATTTCTAATGCACCACGTGTAAGTGTGTACTCGGTTGTCTTCTCTTATGGAAAATACCAAGCTGAGTTTCTAAACTTTCTGAAGGCATACAGCATATTGTACTAACCTGGTCTCCAGAGTGAGCTGTGGCGTTTATTTCTCTAAAGTTAACAGACTTTTCTTTGAAAACCATGTTGTTTCGGATTGTTTCATGCAGTGGCTGTGGGACTTTGGATGATGGAATATTAATTGGCCTCTTAGCCCACCCCTACACCTCTGGGAGCAGGAAGCTAACAAAGAGAAGAGCCAGGGGAAAATTCATGCTTGTCACTAGGAAGCAGACTTGTTAACTTAATAAAAACTTTATTCAAGTGTCTTTGTAAGAAGTCTAATGAGTATTAGAAGTATATACAATAAATGACCTTTGATAGCATTAATCTCTGATACTTTGGGGCTTTTTTCAGGTGTACCCAGTTAAAAGCTGCCCACACTGTGGGGATTACAATCTGAATTTTGTTTTGCTTGGTGGAATGGTGTCTAATTAAAAAACAAACTCCCCCCCAAAACCCACAAAATTAAAAGTCCTCCAACCACTCAGTCCCCCAGTCTCCCACCCTACAATTTCTTGTAATTAAATTCTAGATACTTTAATAAAAACATCTTTTGGACTTTTCTTTTAAGTCAATCCACTGAAGATGAGTTAACGATACCATGTTTGGGACTCCTGGCAAATCTCTGTCGTCACAACTTGTCTATTCAAAGTCAGATAAAATCTTTGGTAAGAGTTTTGGTTTTATGTCATGGTTCTTTGGCTTAAGGGCAAGAGTTACTTAATTTTTGTTTTATTCATGACTTGTATGGCTTATTTATAAATACGTAAAATCTGTAAATTTAGAGGGTTTATAATACCTTTGTTTCTCCTTTTTGCTTTAGAATAATGTGAAGAGTTTCTATCGTACCTTAATAAGCTTCCTGGCCCACAGCAGTTTGACTATGGTTGTGTTTGCACTTTCAGTATTATCAAGCCTTACCCTAAACGAAGAAGTAGGAGAAAAAGTAAGTGATACTTTGAAGTCTATTCTATTCTTAAGTTGTAGATAAAACTAATTGTCACACTGGCCAAATAAAATTCTAATTCCAGCTCGTTTTAATAAGCAAGAGACCCTGCAAAGTATGTGCCTGTACATAACTTTCTTCTTCCTTTCAGCTCTTTCATGCTCGAAATATCCATCAGACATTTCAGTTAATATT